CCCCTGGAGGCCATCTGGGAGTACTGCACACCCTAAATCTGCCTTCCTGTTTAGGTTCAGGAGTTTTCAGATGTTGGGCCACTAAATACATCCTGTATTAACCAGAGCCGTGTCCTTATTTTTATATGCATTTATTGTTTTTGCAGTTTTTTCAGTTTTCTGATTTGTTTCTGTGTTTCTGCAGATGAAGCAGAAACACGATATTATCTTACATTCTCTCTGTCCTTCTGGGCTTTAAGCCTTTTCCCTGCCTTCCTTCAAATAATCCCATTTCTAATAAAGTTTTATATATTTCTATATTCATACCAGTGAAATCACGCAGCTGAGACACGTTTAGGGCCTGAGACTTCAACATGGACGCTGTTTCTGTTGCCATGGTGACACATCGTCACCAAAACGTCCTGGTTGCTGATGTTTGAAAGGTTCAGATTTTATTATTGAAATCCTGACTGGATGTTCTGCCATCACTCAGTGACGGGACACTTTTAGGACGTTATTAAAATGTCTGTTACATGACAAACATTATGTTAAAACAAGAGTTTCATTATTTAGTCCAATCAGCTCGGTGTGTTCACGGTCATTTAGGAAAACATGAACAAACTATTTCTCCTGATTCTGCTGAGAACACAAAGCAGAAATACACGATAACCTTAAAAATAAAACTGATTTTCATTCATATTAATGATGAGGATAACAATCTGTTTAATGTGGTTAATTTTAGAGTTCCCTAATATTTTAATCGCTCTTAAAGTTCATAACATAACTGTTAGTTTCATTTTTTAAAATGTTTCCAATTCTATTTTTCCCAAATAAAAACTGACATATGTGTCAGTATATTATCAGTTTTAATGTAAATGCATATTTAACCTTAACCAAGTGTAATAACTAATGAGGGATGACGTCAGAGATGGACAGTCCAGTTTCCTGCCTCATTCCTGAGCTAAAGAGGTCAGAGGTCAGGCTGCACAGGAGGGAGGAGGAACCTGGAAAGTCCTGGGATGAAGAACGATGTTTGCGTGAACACTGCTCTCTGATTGGCTGGAGCGATCCTTCCAGAAAAAGCTCACAAACCGACCTATCACAGCCCAGGAGGCAGACCGCTGCGGGTCTCCATAGATACAGGATAATAAAGATTATTACGGTCCATCAGCAGAAATGTTCATGTTCTGGCTGAACGTCTCGGCTGTTGTTGATTCTGAAGCTTCATGTGGGAGTTTAATGATGAAGGAGCGATGAAGATGAGGGACACGCCCATTTTTAACACCGACGACAACAACAGCCATCAAAATCATTTAAAAAGAGAAGCATGAATGTTTTTGTTCTAATGTTGATCTGGAAGATGGAATCAAACTTAAAATGTTTTTTAAAATTGTGAAAATGGAGAAACGGGAGAGAATAAAGATTCAGAGCCAGAAAACGAGGCCTCGATGGAGAGATGGAGAAAATGGAGGGAAAGGGTGAGGAGGGGAGAGGAAGAGGCGTTCAGACAGGCGTGAAGCGCCAACAATGGAGGCGAACAAAGAAAATCCCAACGGAGGCATCAATCACTGCCCCACTTACCCCTCCCGCTCATTTTTACTCTTCATTTCACGCTTTTGCCCCGCGCCCTCCCTCTTTCTGCCCCTTTCCTCCCCCGAGCCACTCCCACCTCCTCCATCCATCCATCCATCCATCTGGCCGTCCATCTGTCCGTCCAGCCTCCAGAACTCAGCCCAAACAATCTGCTTATTGATGCATCCATTCATGGAGGCGCTGGAAAACGATCCAGAATGATCAGCAGTCATTAAGATTCACAGCGACTCCCGTTTCTGAACACCGAGGCAGGAGCAAACAGAAACATGCAGGTTTTCCTGCCGCTCACACAAAGGATCCACCGATTGGGACGATGAGCAGAACGACGGAAAAACTCAACCTGAGGAGACCGAGAGCACAACCGCCTCGTCCTTCCTACCTTTCTGGCTCTGGGATTCATCCATGTTTTCCTCCATCGCTGCAGGTTACACTCCCTTTGTCTGGATTTCGTGAGAAGCCGTGTGTGAAGCCTCTTGCTAGCGCTCAGCACAGAGTGCGTGTGTGTGTACGTGGGAGGCAGAGTGTGTGTGAGTGCCTGTTTTCCCTCCCTGCAGATGATGGAGGCTAAGGGAAGTCCCTGTTTCGACGCTCTGCTCTCTCTCGCCTTCTCCAGCATCCTATCACCGCTTCCGTCCTCAGATTCATTCTCTAAGCAGATTTTTAAATCTGCAGCCATGAATTTTATGTCCAAAAATACATTTTAAACGATAGAAAAAGTAAAAATAAAAAACACTGAATCTGACCAAGTGTGTATTCCATCTTTCTGACCAGATTGATTCATATTTTTAATTTTCAATTACATAAAACAAATCCACATTTTTCCCGACAGCCTCCAGAAGACAGCAGCTGCTCGATGGCTGAAACGTTTTGGTCACACAGGAACCTAAACAAAGTGCAACAGGATGGTTCCTGCAGTCGGTGGTTCGATTCCGGCTGATGAGGAACCAGCAGACATGAGACTGAAGGATCTGAATCTCCTTTCATTGGTGTCCAAAAGCCAAAAGTGGACTTTGGTTTTCACTTTGTGCTTTTATAAGCGGATTATAATTTATTAAAGCCAGGTGGATGATGACCTTTGCTCCCATTGGACAGAAATTTGATACAAATCAGTTGGAAGATAAAGTCGGATGTGAAGCAACTTCATAACAAACCATTCTGAAATATTTTAGAAAATGTTTTGATCCTGATGCTAACCGTAACCAGCTTCAGTCACCGCTCCTCTTCCTCATCTTCATCGCTCCTCCTCGTTGTTTTAACGTTTGGTTCATATTCAGACGCTGAACGTCTCTTATTGAGTTAAATTCACTCATCTTTCTGGGCGGAGTTAGCGCGCTAGCTGCTAGCATAAACCTGATGCTGCAGCATTAACATTCATTTAACAATATTTTATTAAATTTATAGAATATTTTTACTGTTTTCTATGTGAAATAAATGTTTCCTAGATAAGGTCCACTGTTACAACTAATAACGGATCCCTTTCACACTAAATGTAGCCTAAAGCAACGTGTATCTTAAAAATAATAACAAATAATTGTATCCAACTGATTTCCATTTAATTTGGTCATGAATTATGTGAATTACAGTACGAAGACAATAATGATGCAAACCACAAAAAGCACCATTTGTTTTCTACACAGTGTTTCACTGTGGATAATTCATCTTTCAGATGTTCTGAGGTTCATTAACACGTTTCACCAGAACTCCTTGAAAACCCACCTGAAGCCTCTGACTGCTGGACTCCGAGTCCCTCCTGATGACCAGCATCTTGTCCGTAAAGGTTACGAACAGAACTGAAGAGCAGCCTTGGTGGAGTCCAACTCTCCCTGGAACTGAGCCTGACGTCTGCTGGCGGTGCGGCCCAAAGGGACACGGCCGAATGCCGTCCACTGGCCCCTGACACACAGGTACGATTTCCCTTGCATCCTTTCTGAGGGTCCTGGACCAAAACCACTTGTTCTTTCTGAATCCAAGATTCAACTGTCCGATGGACCCTCCTTTCCAGAACTCCTGAACTTCCCAGGAAGCTTTAGGAGAGCGTGAACCCCACGCTGGGGTCTCCTCCTGCCAGTAACTGACCCATGGACGTCAGTTCCAATCCCCTTAACATTCAGAGTGTTAAGCAACTAAGGACAGATGTAGTCGGCCCCCGGGGCCTTGCCACCGAGGACTTTTTCCCTCCTTGGGACCAGAGACTGGAGAGCCCAGCCCAAGGTAACGCGGTTCTGCTTCTCCAGAGGAAGATGTGTTGGTGGGACTGAGGTCGCTGAAGTATTCTGGCCACGATGGCCGAGTTGAGGTCAGCAGCTCACCGACCCCACCATGAACAGGCCACCGCTTTCCCCACCTGAGACTTCAGAAGAGGAACCAGAAACACCTCAACGCCTACAGAAGTTGTTCTCCAGCAATTCACTGAGTTTTGCCTCATCAACCATCTGATCCACATTCTGCTGAGGCAGTTGGTTCCTACGCACAGCTTCTGGGGTCCCACAGGTCAAAAAGACCCGATCGGACTACATTCAGCCCGACAGCATCCCTCACAGAACCTCTCCACCTCACCAGCTCAGGCTCCTGGTGGCTCCTCCCACCAGAGGAGTCGTTCCACATCCTGAGAGCCAGCATCAGCAGCCCAGGATCAGACCGCCACCCATCGCACGCTGCAGCCGACCGCTTCGCCCGTCCCTCAGGTGATGAACCCCTGGAAAAGGGGACCATGTTCCTTCACTGGGCTGCGGGTCAAAGCCTGGCGACTCGGCTGCCCCACCTGGGGCAGGAAACACCGTTTCCACCGGTAACAACCATCACAATGGGCTTGATCTGCATATAACTGCCTGAAGAGAAAACATGGAGTTTTCTGAATTTGGACCCGGGGATGAACCGGACTGTCGAACTGGAGCGATGAAAACACGAGACTCTGGTTTGTCTCATGCTGGTAGCAAACAGTCTCGTTCTTCTGTTCCTCAATCTGTGCTGCCAGTAGAGCCACACCAACCAAACCAGTGGCCCCTGGACCCCCATCTGGGTCAGGGGTCAGGGGTCACTTTCACAACGGAAACCAGACAGAAACCAGGGTGTACCTTACAGTTCACTGGAAACTAGTTAAACCTTTAAAATAACTGATCAAACTTATTGAACATTTTAAAAACCAACATTTATTGACCCAATTTATGAAAATATAATTTAGGAATCAAATATTTACAATTATATCATTCCAGATTTTGCAGGCAGAATTTTTATTTTCCTCAATAAAATAATTCCTCATCTTTATTAGTAAATATAATATTGCAACAATTTAATTGGTTAGTTTTTACCTCCAACATGTTTGGCATCAGATTCTGAGCCGTTTGTCTGAAGCTGATCAGTTCCTGGGTTTAACTTTCCTCTCCATCATCTCCTCTGGGAAAACACGAGTCAGTTTGAGGATTTCAGTAAAACCAAATTGATCCCTAAAGGTTTTTGATCCGATCGGTTTTACTGACAGAAAGGATCATGAGAGGTGCAGCGTTTCCGCCTCCAAAACTCGGACCTGGACTGAAGAAGGGCTGGAGCTTCTGAGCGAAGCTACAGCCAGTAAAGGAGAAGATCAGAGCTTCAGTGTAAACATCATGGAAGGAGACGAGACCCTCATCATAATCCACAAACACTCCCACCTTCACCAGCGAGTACAGAAGAGGAAGCTGGACTGCAGGGTCAGAAAAGGCCTTGTAGGTCGAGGTCCTCAGCCCGACTGTCCAGTAACCTTTCTGAGGACTTGGATGAGTTTTTCCCTTCCTGTCTATTGACTCTCTGGCGACCCCTACTGTCCAGTGAGTCTTCCCTTTCACACAAACCTCAAAGTAGAACCTGCCTGAGGAGAAACTCTGCCTTCCCAGAACATTGACAGACACAGAAAACCTTTTTGGGTTGTCAGGAAGAGTCTTCATGTCACCGTGGCTCACTTGTTTTCCATCAGGAGACAGGATGAGATGCTGATGGGCGGTTTCAGGGTCAAGGGTCACCTCTGCTGCGAACTTCTGGACCCTCTGCAGCTCCGCCTGAAACAGTTTATTCATCCTGAAGAGAATCTCCTGCAGCTGAGCCACAGCTCTGACCGCAGTCCCCTCATAGTGTGGTGAATGAACTCTGACCTCTGTCCAGGTCTTGGTGGGTGGAGCAGCTTTCAGGGAGGAGCAGCTTTGGAGGAGGTGGAGGGGATCTTCATCCTGTGAGAGCTGCTTCACCTCAGAGCTCCTCTTCTTCAGCTCAGAGATCTCCTGCTCCAGATCTCTGATGAAGTCTTCAGCCTGTTTCTCTGTAGTTTCCTGTTTGTCTTGGATCTCCTTGAGGAGCTCCTTCAGGCCTCTCTCAGCAGACTCCATCAGAGCTGTGAAGACCTGAACACCTTCTGCTTTCTCTCTGTCTGCAGCATCTCTACTGATCTTCACCGACTCTCTGATCTCCTGGATCTTCAGTCGTCTCTCCTGGATCATCTCCTGAACTTCAGCCTCCGTCTTCCTCAGCTCTGCCTTCTTTCCTTCAGATTCTTCTCTCAGAGGAACAAACTCGTGGTTCTTGTGGTCAAAAACAGAGCAGACCAAGCAGACGCATGTCTGGTCGGTCCTACAGAACAGCTCCAGAGGTTTATCGTGCTGCAGACACATCCTGTCCTCCAGGTTCTCCACCGGCTCCATCAGCTGATGTTTCTTCAGACGTGGAGCGGTCAGGTGAGGCTCCAGGTGAGTCTGGCAGTAGGAGGTCAGACACACCAGGCAGGACTTCAGGGCCTTCAGTTTGGGTCCAGTGCAGACGTCACAGGGAACTTCTCCTGGTTTGGCAGCTTGTTGCTCTGAGCTGCTGCTGGCTTCCTGCTGAGCTCTAAGTCTGAACTGATCAACCATCTCAGAGAGCAGAGTGTTCACCTCAAGTTCAGGTTTTGCACTGAAGTCCTTCTTACAGTTTGGACACTGGCAGTTTTTATTGACATCCCAGTGCTGAGTGATGCAGGTCTTGCAGAAGTTGTGTCCGCATGATGTGGTGACCGGATCAGTGAACAGGTCCAGGCAGATGGAGCAGAGGAACTGATCCTCAGAGAGACGACAGCTGGCAGAAGACATGCCTGCAGGGAGAAAACCAGAGACATGTTTACTGGATTCATCTGGAAATGAAACATTTTCAAATCTGCTGGATCCTCTCTGAGTCCTCCAGTTGACGCCGCTGAGCTTAATCCAACGTTTTTATTTGAGACTTTGGTATTTATCAAACGTCTCAAGTTCCTTCTGGCAGACGGTTGAAACGTTGGATTCCTGCTGACGCCTTTTCAAACCTGAGACTGAACACCAAGTCAAAGCAGAAGGTGAATGAGAGTCAGAGTCGCCACCAGGGATGGTGGGAGGAAAACTGCAGTGAATCTGGAAGAACAGCCGGAGGATGAACTGCAATAAACTGATCAGATCAGAACTGATCCCACTTTAAGCCTCGTGTTTGGCTCCGTTCAGCTGCATCACCTCTGAGCGTTTCTCCTTCTAACCTGCTGGCAGGAAAAGGACAAGAAACTGGAGAACTTCTAGAAAAACTGTCTACCCCGTTTTAGGTTCAGCTGGAGAAATAAAATGTTTCTGAAGTTTATTTCCAGATGATGCCAGGCCTCTGCATCCTTCAGCAGAACGCATCTTTGGTTTTCCAACCAACAAGATGTCTGGCCAAGCTGGACGCTGCTGTGACCCGAATGATGATCGGCTCAAAGTGAGACCGCTCTGCTGCCTGGACTGAAGCAGGTGATTAAAACAAGGCTGGTCCTGTTGGCTTCATGTTGCTGATTCTATGCTGAGTTATTCTGATGATGCTTGTTGGCTTTAATCTGCCACATGTCAGAGATTCCAGAATGACTCGGCTCCTTTCTGCCCCCTCTCCTCTCCTTGATCTCTCCATTCCTGTCTGTTTCGCGGTCATAAAGTTTTGCATTGAGCTGATCAAGCAGAGGTTTTATACCTGCTTACAGATTGGTGGCCTGATGCCTGCAGAACCAGCCAGACTGTCTTCCAGTGTCAGAGTTCATGATCTGACCAGGTACAAAAGGTCAGGGAAACGACCGGAGACCGTCCAGAACCCAGCAGGGCGGGAATGAGCGGAACCAGAACCAGCAGGTCAGACACAGATTTGTTATGGATCTCTTTTATCTGCACACGCTGCAGCTTACATAACCATGTTTAATGTGTGACTGCTGGCAGTCACATGGAAACAGACTGAACCTGATTTGACCCTTTAGCCAGAACCGGCCCAAGGCATAAGCAAACTAAGCAGCCGCTTAGGGCCCTCTAAGGGCCCCTCAGTGGAGCTGATTTTTTAGTTTTATTTTGTTATAGTAATAATTTCTGTCATTATAATATCAAAAACA